GTTCTTGTTTGCTTTCTTATGGTAAAATATTGCTGAAGAAAAGATAGATAGGATTTTAATATGGCTTAACAACTCACATTAAATCCAAGAGGGAAAGTTTGAATTTGACTGAACAGCTTGTGTTCAAGAGGAGCACAGGGAACAGGCATGCAGGGAGGTAAAAAGCCCCTTCCCGAAAGTTTTTTCCCTAACCAGGACCAGAACCCAAGGGAGCTTGCCTGGGGACTCTGTGCACATGACCTCATGCTTCCCTGGTGTGAGATGCAGGAGAGTCCCAGGTACTGCACAGCAGGGAGAAATACAGTTGCAGTGACTACTGTTGTGTACCAAAATGAAAACCTGAGGAGGTCTCAGCTGGAGGCTAGGAAAATGCTCCCAGCACATTTCTGACTGTGGTGGTCAAAGACTGAACATCCTCTTGTGGGGCTTGCAAACAACCCAGCAATGCTGGTGAGAAACAAGAGAGACTTAGAATCTCATGCTAGGACAGGTAGGGTTCTTGCCCTACCTATTGCTATGCAGTCAGTAGAGCCCATTTAGCCTCTGTGTGGAAATGCTGGAATGTGAAACTGCTGTGAACTTTGCTGCAAGAGCTGGGGCAGCCGAGGATATAGGTTGTTTGAGATCCACAAGTTGGAGGTATGGTGTGTTAGCAGGAATTTTCCTCTGTGGGCTGTGCTCAGAAATGGATCTGTGAAGTGGACTCAGAACCCAACTTAGCCATTCCCTGAATTTCCAGGGCTGTTTTCTCTGAAAAAATTTGTTAATATTTTGTACAGAAGCAGTGTTGGGAGTCATTTGTTTTTTACAAGAGGAAAGCTGACAGAATTGAGGCTGTTAATTCTCTTTTCAACCTCCCCTTCAATAGTCTTCAAATATGGAGAAGGCTGTTAAGAGGAAAGGGAGATGTTCTGCTTGTCTACTGGGAAAAAGGCAAGAAGATAGAGCCTATATGATAGAAAACATTTTGAATTATTACAGCTGTGGAAATGGATGGTTAGAAGAGTATGGAATCTTGTCACTGTAAGTTTCTGAGAGGTTAGACCAACCTCTACCAGGTTGAGTCAGGCTGAGCTGGTCTAACCTTCAGATCAAGTGATAGATTAGACGACATGTCAGACTCTGTTCCATCTCCATTTGCCCTTTTTTTCTGAGAGGAATAACAAACTCGGAGTCTTCTCTTGACATGCCATCTTTCAAACTACTCAGCCTCCCAACCAAGGTAGTCAAATAGAGTCAAACCAGGTGGTGGAACAAAGCACACCAAATGATTATATTTCAGATTAGTGCAGGAAACTTGGAAGAGCAATTGTTATGCAGTAGAATTTAGGCATTTTATGTTTTACTCTGGCAGGTAAGATTGAAACTCAAAAAGGTCTTTGCACCCCAATGTCACTCACCAGAGTTATTTTGGAGGACCCCTCAAAACCCAGAATTTAACATACATACAAATCAAACATCAAATGTAGACCTCATCTGGTCTGAGTCTATGCCAACAGAACCTGGCCAAACCCTGCCTAAGGATAAAAGTTTATTGAACTTCTTAATGAACAGAACCCCACCATTATGCTACAGTTATTCTAAAGCAAATAATTTGCTTGTAATTACAGTGATAATGACATTTTGACCACACCTACTAATTAGAAAGTTGTAATAAAGAGGAATAAAACACCTTTTTCTTGGGCTGCAAAATCAACCCCCACACAGCCTGTGACAATAATATGATTTACTCCTATTTGCTGATGGAGTATTCTAGTAATAAAATTTAATGTGGAGGAACAAGGTGCATTTAACCAAAGTTGTAAACATCTCTAATTCTATTTAAACCTATAGGGTGCAGTACATTAACATTTAACATTCTGATACTAAATTGGTGTGAAGCTAATAGAGCTGTATTTGTTAAAATATCAGCACTAGACTATGTTTTAGCAATGACAACAGAAGGAGTAACCAGAATAGTAGGACTCAGCAGATACCAGCCACTGCCTAATTACGTATTAAGACCCTGTATGGGAGCTCCTGCTATAAAAGAACAGTGGACCAGCTCTTCGGCTGTACTGATGAAGCCAGAGGGAGTTCGGCCAGAGATTAATTCAGCCTTGGGGTTCCTGTTAGAAGGAGCTAAATTTCCTCTGCATTTCCAAACTTACCCTGAATTTCTTCGGGTGAAGTACATTATACTCTGTGAAATTCTCTTCTCCATAGTCTTTCAAGTGAGTTTCTTTGAGACTTAAAGATGCACAGTTAGTTGCAAGGTAAAGGATTTTGTTGTTCTTCTCCCATTATATGATCTGACATTAAGAAATCTGGGTGGACATTGCATAAGAAAAGGCATAGAAAACATCTGCTCAAGGAAGATGGGTATTCTCCTCCTGAATAACCTGGCCTCCTTTCACTCAGCTGGTCTGTTGCCTTTCAGGATTCTGCTGTCATCTCAAGTCAGTCACAAATGGAAAACATTTGAAAATTCTGGCATTTTCTGCAGAATGAAAAAATTAATTCCCACCTATTGGGATTGTATAAATGCTGAATATGAGATAAACAGATATCCTCAAATCATTCTCTAGAAACCAATAAATCCTGCAGACTGAGAGAACTTATCTCACCAAAGAAGGTAATTTATTTAGCTGAATTAACTATTATTTTGGGGAATTAGATATCAAACATAAACAAAAATATATAGAATATTAATACACAAAGAATGGTAGTCATTAAAATAATGGGCATAAACATACAGTAGAGGATTTTTTGTACAATGGGCACAATGGCCAGTCCTATGCATAAGGAATGTTTATATATCAAACTTTAAAAATTTTTCACAACTAAGTTGTCAAATCATTAATGTGCTTGGGGTTTATGTTTAATTCCAGAGTAATCACCAATAGGTTCTCTATTTTTCTAAGGCATTCCTTACAGCTGTCTACATAAGAGATGTCCTCTCTTAATAGTCAGTCAATCTCTAACTGTTCCAAAATGGATCCCTGAGTATTTAATCGCTCTTTAGCAACAATTTCTTTTTGGTCAGTGAGCTGATTGCTGTTGCCATTGCAAGTCCATCACCCATCAGAGAACAAGGAAAAATACTATGCCTTTTTGGTGGGTGTTTAAATTCCTGGCATAGCGAAAAGGTTTTCTTGCTAGCTCACAAATGCAAACATTATAAATGCAAATAACTATTTGCAAACCTATTTTTAAAAGCTGGGCTTAGTTTGGAAAGAACTATTTTGATGATGAACTAAATTTGGAATTAGTGTGTACATAATGGCCAGCCTGACAAGCTTTTCTTAAATTCTTATTTCATACAAGAGACTTTTATCTAACATGGGAGCAGGTGACTGCATTTTACATTTACACTGACTATACAGTAACCGATTCTGCATGCTGCCTAATCCCTATCCCCATTCAAAGAAGCTAAAAAAAGGTTTGTATAGACTCACTTATTCTGGTGAAACCATCCAAAAGACAGTGATGTACTTACTCTCTTCCTTTGTCACATGTCCCCAGCCCTGTGTTGTCACCCATGTGGTTACAGGAATAAGGGCATGAGTATTCCTGTGATGGTTCCCAGCTGTACTCTAAGCCCTGGTGAGAAGCTGCTGTATCACTAAGAAAGCCTGACCTGTAAAGGAGGAAGCAACTCAAATCACCTTGGCTAGGATTTCAAAACCCAAGGCCTGCAAGTGCTACTCCAAAATTCACACTAAATTTTGCTGAATGAGTGGCCTGTCACGGTGCTCCCTCCTGGACCTGGAGCAGACCTGCTACATACCAAGTATCAGATCTCCATGGCCTGATGGTGAGCTAAAGAGCCTGTGCTTTTACATCTCCATTAACTCTGCAGTTACTTGAGGGCTAAAGCTTCCCAAGGGGTGAAAGATGTTGGGTACCCACCTCTCCCTGAGGTTTGGTGGAATTTGGCCAATGGAAATTTAGGAGCTTAAAAACAACGGTCCAGCTATCCTTCAAGACTGAAATTCCCAGGTTTCCACATTTTCCACATAGCCCATTTTCCATGTATGTATATAAAAAGAAAAAGAAGATTCCCCACCTAGTTACCAAGGTGAAGAAAGAGGAACAGTATTTTTTGCTCTGTCATTAGGCTCATTTCCCTACCTCCTGAGCCCTGCTCTGTCCAAAGACACAACTCCAAAGCATGTGAGCAGGGCATTAGTGGAGTCTGCTCTATACTGAAGGAGAGTCTGTGGGATTTTTCCTCTAGATCAGCAGCTCAGTAACATAGGCCACAGCAGGAAACTTTTGCAGATTGGGAGTACCAATCTAGATCAAGGTCAAAGCAGTGTCCTGGTTCTGTCAAAGTCTTTTATTCACTATCAAGTTCTTCCGTTCCCAGTAAGAATTTTAAAAAAGATCAAATTGTGGAAAATGTTCCCAAGCTATAAATATTCTTCCTCAAATCATTTGGATTTAACTATGAATGTTTCCTTTGGATTATTTTGAAATGTTTTATTTCAAGCACTTAACTATACTAAATGTAACACGTTTTTTAAAGACAATGGCATTTAGAAAGGGAATTTGAAAATATAGAAAACAAACCTTTTTATAATTATTTCTGGAGGGGAATAAAAGCAGAAAAAGTAATTTTGGCTTTTTCTTTTCTGTAGAAGAAAGGTTCAATTTTACTGAGTTAATATTTTTCTGATGCAAAACCAGCATTAAATTGACAAATTTCCTGGTCAGTGGTCTTTCTCTTCAGAATCAGGCTGATGTGCATGGATCCTGCCACTAGTACTTTTGAGGCTTGCTAAGATGTTGATGTTTGCAGCTGGACTTGTTACATTAGCCTCCAAGAAGGAATAATGTTTAGTACTGAAAATGCCCTGACGAACTTTAGTCCATTTAAAACAGGCCAAACACTGCAAAGGGTGTCTCTGAGATGTTATTTGTAGACCAGCTGCTTTTTCTATGATTACTTTCAACTATATTTTGTTTAAAAGTCTCATAGAAAAATAGATATGCTTGAATGGAAGTAAAAAAATAAGGACATTTGTATGATTTTTATAAATAAACAGCAGAGCAAGAATTAAATAGAACACAGACAAAGGACATTTATACAGGCATGAACTATTACAGCTTGTTCTCCTCAAAGAGTATCTGCGCATAGACTGTCGTACTGGGAATGTTTTTGGCTTCCTGAATCGGCTTCATAAGTTCAAGTTCAGCGTATGTTAAATTCTCCTCTGTGATTTTCGGCTAGGAAACAGAACCAACAAATTACAGTTATCATGTCATTACCATGGAATGTAAAAGATGCCTTAAATATTCTATAGTATGGTCTATATTTCTTCTCTCACATATGCTAATTCTACTATGCTGTTAATCAGATTAGTCTGCACTAGAGTTATTTCATAGAAGATGAAATAAAAATAATACAAAAAATAAGGAACAGGAAACAGTAGGATTTTCAGGTTCATTTCCAATTTCTTCTTGTTTCTCCAACACTGAACACTTTAATTTGATGATTCAAATATCGCAAATTTGAAATATATGTGTTAGTAAAATGTTCAGCCTCTTTGATCTGAAATTTCTCAATTTAATTTTAGTTATTGAATATTTCATAATTTGAAATATATATGACAGATTTGCTTCCCAGCTGTAAAACTTGGAGCAGGTTACATCTCTAATCACAGCCAGTTGAAGTACCTTTCATTATGTTTCTTAACAGAACCAAAAAACATGTTAAAAATATGCAGAAGGCAGCAAAAACGGATAGACTTGAGTTACTGTCATTCCAATAGGACTTCACCTCTTTTGCTTTGCTATATATTTCTGAGTTGAGAACAAAGGCTGTACTACCAAAGCTGTCTGATATATTAGACTGGTTGAATTTTAGACTTAAAATTATAAAACTTAGCTAAGAGACATGTTATCAAGAAAATTTACTGAGCAAGTTTCATGGGGATGACAGAAGAGCTGCCTACTGCTACTGGGGACTTCATCCCGACTCAGTGTGGTGGCTTAAGAGGAGGAAAGTCTTGTTGTGTGTTCCTTTGTGTATGTTGGCTCATCAGTCGTGAGTGGGTTGTTCATATCAAATTCACCTCAGAAAATATAGCAATGAACAGAGAAGTTTCTGTTGAATTGTACATGGAGCCCTAGTACTTGAAATGGATTTCAATTAATCTGTAGAAGATTAAAGTCTCTGCTCCCTGAAGAAGGATGAAATGCTAAGACCCTGTGTAAGTGAAGAACTGGAGAATTTGTTCTTTTTCTCCTTGGGTACTGTGTTCTACCTGAATATAATGGGTGTCCTCAAGTGAAAACTTAAAAAGGTCAGTTTAAACAAAAATCCATGCAGTACTTAAATGTTACAATGAAGAAACTGACAATATTTTAAAATGCCAAGAATTTCCTTTCTGTTTTATTTACTGCTATTTATTTCTTTCTGATTTAACATAAATCACTCCTGTTTCCTTGAAATGTGCTTGAATAATTATTATGTTGTCTTCTGGCTAAAACAATAAACATCTAACGTCCTCTGAAATCAGTCCCTTTGCTCCCCTGCTTCCTGTCTTTTGCACTGCTCTGGAATCCTCTCATTTTTCTTGACAGTTGCTTGCACTCTGGATTTCAGATTGTTTCCCTTTGGGTGGATTGGTTTACACTTTTCCAGCATTAATCTGATCTTATTTCTTCTCTACAGATCTGATCCTGACATATTTGGTGCAGCTGCTGTCGCAAGTAACATCGTTTAAGTCAGTTGATCTGTACATGTGAGTAAAGGCCATTTGCAGGGCTAATTGCAGGACTGCGATCTTTGCATTTGGTTACTCGTATGGTCCTCCCTAACTCCCTTTCTTGCATGGTTAGTCCTATTTGATCTCAGCTTCTGTTCCTCATTCACTATCCAATGCTCCACTATTGACTACACAGATGTCCTGCTTTTGTTGAACTCCCAGCTGTAATGATGTAAAAGGACCTCCAGTGGATCCCAGCCTGATCTTGTGTGTAGCAGAACTAAAATCACATATTTCTTTTCTTTGTTCATGTATTGGGACTGAACTGAACCACAATGCTTAGAAAGACATCTGTCCTATCCTGACTTTGGCTTAAAGAGTTAGAAAACACTCTTGATCAACTGCTCTGATACTTAATAAATTCTTATATACCTCTCTTCTTTCTAGCCTGTGAGAGTATTAGCTGCAGTTTCTAGGCATTTATGTTGGTTTTGCCTTTTTTGATATGTTAAAGATCCCTTTTGAGATTTCAAAACTGTATGTGCCCATCTATTCAGTAGGTAGTAGGGAGGTTAAATACAGGAGCTAAGTTGAGGCTGGAGATCACAATAACACCTACCAACTTTAGTGGGTGTCACCTCAGACCCTAGATGCAGAATGATACAACCCATGTGCAAAGCCTCCTGAAAATGAATCTGATAAAACTTTACAAACAAGCTTTTGGTCACTGCCTGAGTAAAACTCTACATGTCCTAAGACTGACCCAGTGCATCTTTTGAAGTAGAAATATTTTCGTTGTTCTGTAGGAAGCAGTTGCTCAGGGCAAGCTAAATCTGTATATGCTTTCCCCTTTGCTGTTTAATTGTATTTCGTGTTATGTTTCCATTTAGAAAATGCCGCATGTCCTAAAATAGCCAACCCAACGCCCAGCTCATGTAAATTTTAGAACTAAGATTTATGAAATCATATTGTCCAGGTGTTTTATTATATTATCTCAAAATTGCATTGTTTTCCAGTGTAGATTATCTCTTTATTCTTACTTTATTCTATTATGTTTGGATATGAAAAATAACACTAGATTCCCCAAAACAGGTCATTGGGCAGTAGTGGCTGATGTGTTGCTTTCATACATTTTTATGATGTTCCTATAGTAAACATAATTTAATAAAACCAAAACACACTAAATAAATAATTGCATCTAGAAAAGCAATAAAACCAAATAAAATTAGTACTTTCATAAGTGGAAAAGGTACTTCAATTACTGCTACAAGCAACAGCACACCATAAAATGTGTAGAATAATTTCCCTTATGCATATTTCTAGTATGTAATAATTTGATTGAAAATATGAGGAAACACACAGGAGGTTCAAAATTGTGAAGGGTATACAGTTTTCAGCAAAGGATGTGTAATAACAGTGCATGGAAGCCAACACTACTTAAAAGTACCAATGGTAGCCAGATTTTATTCCATACCCTCTTCTGTACTTCATTTATCAACCACATGTTTAATTTAATTTTGCTGGTTTGTTTGTCCAAAACCAGCTTTTTTTTTTTTTTTTTGAATGGGCAGGAAAAGAAAACTAATTCTAGAATTTCATCTCTCATTTGGATTGGATAGTGTTTTGGCAGTGTAAACCTGGAATCCTGCCACCACCCCCTTTTTGGAACAATAGCGTGACTTTAATAACTGATGTTATAGCTGGGACCGATACTAGGGCAGAAGAGGAAGAGACAATAAATAGTCATTTGCCTCTCTTTTTCCATCCTTGCTCTTCACTTAGGAGGTCATTGGGATTTCTATGGCTACAACATCCTTTACTGAGAAATTACATCATTGTACTAAAATAATATTGAAATGATTTCTTCAAATAGAATTCTGTTCCAAAGTGATATTTCTAGGTACCTTGTATGTCTGCTTTCTCATCTTGGGATCACACACTTTGCAGAAATATGGATTAAGAATAGTCATAATTTTCCAGCATAACTTCTGGCAAATGCAAAATGATTATTTTTCCAGATTTCTTCCAGTTCAATTTTAGTTTATTCCAGTCACAGAGCTTCCTATGGACAACTATTTGAAAGACTTCACTTATAGGAACATTTTTATCAACAATCTGCAAAGTCTATCATGTGACTATTTAAAAGAAACTAAAGTATATGTATATGTAGTTTTGTTTTTATTGGGTTTGCCCAGTATGTAAATGTGTTCGAAATTACCTAGAAGGGTTGGCGTTTTAATGAAAATTACTCAATTTCTATGTCATAATTACCAGGAATGTCAACTTTGGTCTCCATAGGCTTTGCTGATTTGTCTCTTGGCAGCCTCAAGGGTGTTTACTGTGAGCACTGTCAGACTGAAAGTTCTTCAAGTTTTAACTAAGACCATTTTTATCCAAATTTATAATTAGGTATGAAGAAAACAAGCAAATAATAATCTCATAAATTTAACTTGTCTAGAAAAACAATTGATGCCAACTCGCATTTATGGATTGCTGCAATCTCCCTGTTCCATGACCACACCAGCAATCATGAAGATGACAAAACGGATGTGAATTCTAATTTAAAAAAAAGAAAAAAAAAGATTTTATTTTACTATGAAAAATAAGCAGAAAAGGGCTTGCTTCCCAGTTCACTTCAATCGTAAATATTTTAGTGACTGTTGCTGCAAACGTTTGCCTTGGAATTCAGTGTCTATATGATTGCATGCAATGGTGTTTTTGTTTGGGATATGTTGCAGAATGACTTTAACACAGGACCAGGGCAAAAAAGCTATGTTTATAGCACAAATTGAATTCTTACCCCTGAGTTTTCAGGATTTAATAAGCATATGTCCCAAGCTCCAATCAGATCTTCATAATATTTTTAGTAACTCAGATTTCCTGCTGCAGCACTTGAAAATGAAACCCCAACCTCACTGGCATTCCCTGTGCTCATGGGTGAATGGATTAGGTCAGCAAGGATAAAACCTTTCCAGTTACGCATAGGTTTGCTGACCTGATTGCCAGTACATAGCAAATTGCCACCTCTGGACTGGCCACATTATGCTGTTGAGTACACACTGTGGTGCCAGGGGAATGTTGTAGGAAATGCAAATAGAAAAGGTACAGAGTCAATAGGTGGTGGTGAAGTTTGTTTTATTCAGTCTTGAGGAATTGCACTTCTCTGCAGGTTACTTCACAGCACAAGGCAAGCAGCCCTGCCCCAGTGCCCTGAAGTAGCTCTTTCTTAGCAAGCACATGCTGGAACTATCATTTTCTCTCCCTTTCTCTTGCAAATGCCAGACTCAGGTCTTTGGCCTTTTCCCTTTCACATTTGAGATATATCCTGTTTTGTATTCACACTCTGTATAAGCTCCACAGGAAGAATGCAGATATTGTCCAGATGGCACAGCTCAGGAGCATCCTGTGTCACCGCCCGAGCACACTCACTCAGAAAATGTTGAGACAGGACTCTCCCGGCCAACTGGATGGGCTTTGGCTGCAGAGACAGATTGTTGCTTCTGTATGTATTCAGTACATATGGTGGACAGGCTGCAACTCCCTTGTCTGAGCCATTAGGACAGGGACAGCAGCACATGCTAGCAGTGGGATCAGGCAAGATTTTGCAAAGTTAATAGTGAGAAAGCTCATTGTAGCTTCAGAGAGAAAAGGATTAACCTTTGTCAGTCCTATTTTTTAATATAGGAATATTCCCTATAGCATGTCTTATCTGTTCAGGTATTCCTCCCCTTAAAATTTAGTGTTAAGATGATGAAGTCAACAGTAATTTTGCATAAGCGAAGATTGCAAGATTTGGTCTAACCTGAAGTCTCACGTCCTTTCCATTGGTCCCAGTGCATCACACAGGAGCTCCTAAGCTTGATGGTACACACTTTCATGAAAAGACACTGAAAGCTTTCCATTTAGAGGATGTTCTGTAACTGACACTCTTGGGCTATGACAACTAATCTCTAGGACACAATGAAAGGCTTACCAGAAAATTTGGTTGAGGAAGTGTAAGATTTATCTCTAGCAACTCAAAGGGCTAAGTACTTAAGGCTATAGCAGAACAGCCCTTAGAGAGCAGAATTTGTGGGCCCCTAGAATTTTCTTCTTCCTAATGACTCTCTGTGCTTCTTGCATGCTATAAAAACCATCCCTGTTTGCATTTCAGCATCTCTATTTCCTTTGATCTGTACACATTTCTCATTGATGCTAATAGAGAATGACACTGATGGGGAATATTTTTGCAACAATGGGAGCATAGAATTGTTATTCTGGCTAAAGCAAAAGCAATATGACTTAAGCAGAGTTTTAAAAAGGCTTTACTCAAGGCTGTGCAATTGAGCATGATATTAGGCTTTCTCTCTTCTTTTTTTTTTTTAATTATCATTGAGATTATGTCCATATTTTATCAAGGTTATTGTATTCTTGTAAAATTATAATGCAACCCACTCTAGCACGTTAACAACAAAAGAAATTCTCTAGCTTATTATAAACATCTTTCAAGAAACCAGAAGCACATGTCCTCTGGAAATAATTTTGCTGGTATTTAGGTTATTACAAAAAATTTCCCAAAACTGGAATTATTTTGTAATGTTCCCTTATACTCTAGCTTGTTTGCTTAGGTTTTCTAGAATATTCTCCTGGTGCCTCAGTGTGGTTCCTTCCTTGGGTTGCACAGGGAAGCTGCAGAAGAAGTCCAGAAACTCAGCAATTTGAGTCTGTCTTTGCAGTGACAATTACGTAGTAACTCTGTGCCATCAATGAAAAAAGACCTAGTGCAGACACCAGCTGTGCAATAATTACAGTTGGGAAGAAAGAATTCTTCTATTCTGCAGAGATTTGGCAGGATGATGACAGTATTTTTTTGCCCCAAAGCAGACTGAAAATTTAATACGTGAGAAATTTTTGAGAATTAAAAAAATAGGGAGGTAAGTATGCTGAAAATCAATAAAATATTTCATTTAGATTAATTTGATATGCCTTTTTCACTGTAATTATTACTGTTTTGTATCTTTGTTGAAATTTCATTTACTTCAAGTTCTTCACTGAAAAATCATTTAAAAGCATAAAATAAAAGATTTTTTTTTTCTTTCTTTCTTTCTGACAATACTAAAACATAGGGTTTGGGGAATGTCCTGCTCAGCTTCTGAATGTGTTTTGGTCTTGCAAATATTTTGGATGATATTTGTTGCGCTACTTTATGACTTAAAATTAACTCGTATCCATAGACCGTGTGTTTTCTGCAGGCTGAAAACTGCAGGCTGTGTTTTCTACAGGCGCACCAGTGTCTCTCCAGGTGCGCTCTGAGGTGAAATATAAAAGGGAAAAGAGCAGAACCAGGTTTGAGTCCAACAGCAAGGCATCAAAACTGAGTCTGCTGGCTGCACACAGTGTGCAGGTCATCACTGACGTTAGGGAAAACAAATCTGATTTCACTATTTCAGAAGGCTTTTTCCCTGCTCACCTCCAAAGAGTTTGAACCTTGACTCGGGTTGTGTAGCAGAAAGGGAATAGCGAAGAGTTATTTGTGGCCCATATCCTTGGATTTATTCCAGAAAGAAAAAGCATCTGGAAACATATTTTCCTCAAGTTCAGCATGTGTTGATGTGCTTTATCGACCTGCAGGAAGAGTCTGAGTGCTTTAACTGATGAGAGAGCTTTTCCTAGGAGGGCTGAAGACTGACTGACTTGGACAGAGCCACATGCCTGGGCGCAGTGATTAATGCAGTGTGTGCACAGCAAAGTGTGGCTGTCATCCCCAGTGCTGAGTGCTCTCACCTGTGCCTTTGTCCTTTTAGCATAGCTTTCGCCCAACACAATTACCTACATGGATCTAAGCTTTTTTTCCGACTTTTAAATCTCTACCTCATCTTCTACTGAAACCTGACGTATATGAGCAGAGCCTGGCCAAGGCATCTGCAGGACCAGCAGAGGAGAGGTTGAGCTCCATACCCAAGCAACAGTATCACCTAAAATTTTAGCTGAGATGTTCTGAAGTTACCTAGCATTATGCCCAGGTATTCTGGGTTGTAGCCTGACTGTGCTTAAAAGGGCAGAAGTAATTACTGACAATTGGTGGGAAGGTTCCCAATTCTAACTTTCATCTGAACGCGAAGCCATCACAGAGTTGTTGGGGTTATTCACGTGACCTAACTTTAGGCACCCACCTTCAGCTAAGTTAGGGGGTTAGTCACTCTGGGCTCTCTCTATTGCCACAGAAAGGAGAAAGAATCCCCAAAAGACAATTCATAGCATCTAGTCTGAATTAGTACGAGTATCAGGCTCATAGGCTAGCTGATCTCTCTCTCTATTGACTATACAAGGAGCCTAGCAGACCACCCTCTTTTTATATGCAGCTGAAGATAGCTGGTATAAAATTCTATCTCCATTACCCCTGGATGTCTTGTCCTGATACTGCTTTGTTATTAAACCAGAGAAACATCTCTCCATCTATCTGGTTTATCTGGCATATATCCTGAAGGGTTTTTTTCAAACAGAAACTCCTGTCCAACAGAAACCGTCATATTACTTGGGTTGTTTTTTCCTTAATATGAGCTATATACAAACATCTTATTCCTGCAACTTCAGTTAATCCTGATTTACACCCCTGTAGGGCAGAATCAGACCCCTCATTTCTGACTTGGAAAGTCTCAAGAGTGGTGTGACCACTATGATTGTGATTCTGTCAGTAACCAGTGTTTTGTCCAAAGCAGCAGCTACCAGAAGCATGTGAGAATCAATAGCAGGTTTCATTTAAGAACAGGCTAAATTTTTAGGCACAGTGACTGCTAGAAAGCTGGAAAACATAATCCAGTGTAATTTAATGCTCAAAATAAAATGAGCCGAGACAATTCATCACTTGAAAAAGTATTACTTTAAAAAAAAAAAAAAAGACTTGTACAATTTTTAAGCCAATTTATAGTTTCTGAACCTAGAGTTCTAGCAACATTACAGCAATTGTATGGAAAGTGAAGAATATGAAGGAAGTAGTGTCATAGAAATTTACTTACCAGGATCAATTTTCTTTGAGGTTTCAAGAGCTTGGGCTTAGGAAAATTATTGGCTATTGGAGCTATGAAAATAAATATTAAGGGATCATTTCATGATATCATCATTCACTGTCATTTTCAGTATATGCATTAGCAATTTATAAATGTCAGATTAGGAGCAAATACTTATACCAGCGTTTAACTCTATTTCAGGTAAGATATTTTACAATGAAGCACAGGGCATGTGAACTAGAAAAAAATCCTAAGATTAAAGAACATGATATGCAAAACATGCTGTTTGTGTGCAGAAGCCAGAGCATATATATCTCTTGAGAACAGACCACTTGTGATCTAACCCACAGTAAACCTTCACATCCTTTCCCTCCTCTCTCCCAGTGGCTCAGCATTGGCAGTAGTGCTCAGAAAGTATGTATGAGAGGTTGGCCCCTTCAGGGTCAATAGCAAATCCTCTTTGAAAGTGAGGTTCCCTAAGAGGTTGATTTTTATCTGTTCATCTTGCTTGATTTCTCAAGTGCACCTGCAATTTTGAGAGTGAAATGTGCTGGCTTCCCTCAGTCTATCCCCAACATGAAATTTTATCTTACCTAATTTTCTCTTTGAGCCAGGTGAATATTGCTACAGAGGTTGCACTCTCTCCTCTGATTACTGGGACCTAAGACCCCTTGCCTGGACTCTATGACTAGTTTTTCAATAGTTACAGCTGCAAGGGAGTTGAGAGCCCTGGTCCCAGCAGCAGGCAAATATCATTTCTTCCCCCACTGATGGAAGCGAGCGCAGGTCACCCCACAAGCACAGTCAGTGGCAAAGTGCAGGAGCCCTGGCATCACGCACTCTGCTGTCCCTCCACGGCTGTGCTCAGGATTTGACATACCCCTGCACCTCTGTTTTCATACCTTTTGCTGGGATGGCTGGTGGCTGCTCCACTTTCTCTTTCTCCTTCTTTTTCTTTACCTTCTTGGGCTGTAGAGGGGACATGCTTGTCACACTGGTAACTGTCTCCCCTGAGCTGCAAAGCAGAGACCCGCATGTGAGGAAATATCAGTGCAATGAAGGGAAAGGTATTTTGTTCAAGTGAGTTCCTGCAAACACGTCACCTTCCACTTGAGAGAGTCCCTGCTCAAAAACTTTGATTTTGACCTAGCCGTATACTGAAAGACCTTCTACAGTTTGGAAATGCCCTGGGTCTTTTTCAACCATACAACCTGGCTGAGAAATTCAAGAGTCTGATCAGTCCTGGCACAGAAAATGCTAAGGGTCAGGTTTAAACAAGACTCTTTTCATAGCACCTATTCCTTAAAAATATATATGACCCCACTGCTGCACCCAGGATGAGCTTGTATCCTTCTGTCCCCAAACACCAGTGGCACAGATGGGTTAGGTGACTTGCATAAGGTCACACGGGAAGCATATGGCAAAGCAAAATCTTCAGTACGGTTTCTGGGCTAAGACAGGCCGAGGGGCCAACAGGCCGGGAGGACCTGCAGCATGTCTTCAGACAGCTCACAAACTCGTATTTGAAAAAGCCAGCTTAAAAAGAGGGTGGTCTGCTCAGTGCACATAAATTGGAGAAACTGTGCCCCAGTCTCTGAACTTGGGCATTCTCCAGTACATCCATGCTGAAAAAGCATGAGTAGGTATGAGGGAAGAGTATATATTGTAAACAGACTCCTGTCCAAGAAAGCTTCTATGTTTGTGCTATTACAGTTCAACATTCTCTAAGTCTGGGGTTTTTACCCTTAGTATCTCCCAAAGTCTGAGGTAGTGTATCCTGCTTTGAATAGCTGAGGCTTGGGTACACAGTCAGGTTGCACAATTGTCACCATGTGTCAGCTGAGCTGTGGTAACTGACTGTGCAGGTGCTCCTAGCTTGCAACTAAGGTGAAATGAAATTGTCTTAACTGGTAATGCAAGAAACCTTAACTTACAGCTGGGGTGGGAGGACAGTTTGTCGCAGTTAGTTATGATGACTACAGTGGTGGAGGTGACTTGGTAAGTAGCTGTTGCTCTAATGCATCTGATCGTGGGCTCAGCCTGGGAAAGATTAACACAGTATGGTTGTGCAGACCTTGCTGTTCTATGCTTGTGAGTTACACCACACAATGGGATCTAACCAGGGTCTCCATAGTCATAACACTGATGATACTGATTTCACTGGATTTTGAATCATTTGTCCCAAGTTGCTGTTCCTCTCACGGTTCTTTTTCATAATGAAACACTGTCTTTGTATGAATAGAATAAAATATTCAAACTGGGCCAACTTTCTTAAAGAAAGTTAAGATGTCTCAGCTACTTCCCACACAAGAATAAGAAAATAACAGACACTATTATTTTACGCAGCTGTAAATCCAAATGAATGCCACTACTGTTGGTAAAATCACTCTGGATTTACACCTGCATAGGTTACAAATGCCTCTGCTCTGCTGATTTTCCCAAGTTCTGCTCCATGTACTCGGTCCAAAACATAGGTTGGCTGCCAAACTTTTTTTGAAGTGTTTAAAAGGTAAAATATTTTCATGATTTATAAATAAATCACATCAGTTCTGTAAACTGAAGGTTTCATTAAAATAATTTCAAAGTCTGCCTATACTGTTGTGAACCTATGCCACAACAACTGTTTGTTTCTATATCAAAATATTAAGTGGTTTAAAACCAGCAGGAAATGAAACTGTCCTGTCTGGCTCCATTGCCCAAACAGAGCAAACTGTAAAGAACAAAGAATACCAAAAAGGGGACAGGAATGATTTTTTATATGTTTTTGGTTTTAATACAAGATCACTAAGACAGATGGCTAGCTTAAAGATATTATTATTCTGATATAGCTACTTTAAGCACAATAAATGAATAGGCTTAGTGTCAATTCATTGCATTAGTTATTATTCTTGTTTTGCCACTGAAAAAATGAAGCTACAGAGAAATGTATTTGTGGTTTATGCTTTCCTTTTAAATGTCGGGGCCATACAGGGTTAAGTAATTCTGGGAGATACAATAACTGTACTTGCTGTCTTAGAACTGAGCTCTTCAAACCAAACAAGGAGGCTAAGAAAAGACTCCTTGGCTCGGAAACACTGCCTCTTTGTGAGCTTGTCTTGTTCTATGTCTAAAAGAAAAGTTAGTTTTTTATCTCCAGCTCCTCCTCTAGCCTCCTGGCTTCTATTTCAACAGTGTCACATTGTGCATTTCTTGAAGGATCTAATTAGTTTTTAGAGGGCAAGAAAAATGCAGGAGTTTGGGGAAAAAAGCCATGGAAGTTGTGTCTAACAATCATGGCATCAGGACAGCATTTCCCTGGAGGTCATGACTGTCCCAAGAGCTGGCAAACTACTACAGTTTCGGCTTTACTATTCTTATTACAGTCAAGGATGTGGGACTTTTCCTGTTGTCATCTAAGTCAGCTATTTCCTCTTGTCAAAGCTCTGCAGAAGGATGACAAAATATTCACTTGAGTGAACCAGGAGCTGCTTTGATATTTTCCAAATAGGAGAGCTGTGTGAAGAAGTTCCAGGGATAGACTGAGTACTTGCTTCAGGCACAGTCTGGCAGAATTTGCTCCTACAATGTTAGATTGGCGCTGTGGAACCAAGGTGTTGAGATGGACAGCTTTCTGAGGTGAACACTTTTTTCAGCTCAAATTATTTGTCTCCAGAAGAGCAGTCAATGAAGGACTGGGGATTTCAGGCCAAAACAAATATAAAAGATGGAAAAAAAAATATTCCTATTTTCAAAGATACACTTCCTGAGGGTTTCTGGATCTGAAAACTGACAAAATTATCTAATAACAAAGAGGATGGTAAGAAGGAGGATATTTAAAGAAAAGAAAACCCAGAAAATTTAATTAAGTGGTTTGGAAAACCCAAAATAACTTTACTTTTTATTTAGGTATTTATTTTTAAAATGTGGGAAAGTAATGTGGTTTGGTTAACTAATTTTTTTCTTTAATTCGTAATTGGTCAAGCAGCAAACCAGAACCCAAACATTTACTTTGTTCTGCTCAGGAAATCTGGATTTAATTTTCTTTTCTACCAAGGCCATTTTGTGAGACTCAGGGCAAATCACTTAGCTCTTTGTGCTTCAGATTCCAATTAAGTAAAAACACCATTATGATGTCAAGACAAGAAATATTTTAAGATGCTTAGGTATTACTGCAGTGGGAGTACAGACATTTCTTAGACACCAGACTATTAATGTAATTTTGAAAGTGGATTCTGCGCTGAGTTTGAAATATCACTAAGGGAGTTGGAGCTAAACCTCTCTGATCAAGGCTGAATTTTGCACTGTGTAGTCATCTTGACTGGCAGGAGTCTCATGCAAAATCAGTTCATCAGTTTGGCCTAATGGATATTCAGACACTGGGTTTTGGGTCTAAATGTGCTGAATTAAGTTCCAAGACAAGCAATGCTCAGGTGAAGAGAAATGAGTTCAAAGACATTAATGATTTGTGTTTTGAGCAGAGAGTGGAAAATAAATGGTACCAAGTGTGAAACATAATGAAAGTTATGATACCGGTAACACTTTCATAGCTATTTAATTCTGAAGGCAGGAAATCAACAGACTTTAGACATGCATTTGTGGGATTGGGGTTTTCACTAGCATATCTTGACACACTGAAATACATGAAACAGTATTTTTATCCATATAGAGTCATGCATTTCTTTTACTTCTGGAGAGTCCTTCTTACAGTGAAGAAATCATGTTGGCTTGCTTTCCCCTGCTTTTCAGCCCCCTATCTTTAGTGTTTGCAGTAGTATCACTACTACATGATCTATTCCCAGTGAGGCAGATTCTATAATACAAGTCTTTTTATCTGACTGCCATGCTCTGTTTTTTCAGCCATCTTTTCAGTTGGGTTTTATTTTTCTCTTCTTTTGTACTCTACCAACCTACTTTGATATCCTCTCCCACCCCCTTCTTTTTTTGTTTTTGTAATTTCAACTGTGTCCTAGCAGCTAATAAAGAAGGGAAAG